ATATTTGCAATTAAAAATTACATTAAATCAAAGTGTATACGTTTATACAGTAAATGATTAAATTGAGAAAAAGGTATTGAATTATCATAAGTAATTATGTTGTGTTAATATTATGTTAACATTTCTACTATCATATTTGGCTGATATTTAATATAAACTATAAAACTGTTCTATAAATACATGAATATTTATTTCAAAAAAATCTAAATATATTTTCTAAAATAATTTTTATTTAACATATTAAACGTGATCATATTCAATAAATTTCAATAATAAAATATTCTATTATTCTTTATTAATTGTATTATTTTTTAAATATTAGAATATATTATCATTTTCATAGTAATTCAGTATTATTTTGTATAAAAATATTGATTTAGTTCTTATTATTAGTTTTTATTAATTCATTGAAGTTTTACATTGAATTTATTGATTTAATAATAGAAAATGCAATGACTTGGGAGTCATATGCAAAATATAACATTCATATAAAAATGATATTAAGAATAAATATATTAATAAAATTATATTATTTTTTAAGTAAATACAATAATTAGTTTAATCATTATTATTGAATGACATTTAAAGTAGATTTACTTAATGTGATTTTACTGTTACAGTACTAACAAGTAAAATGAGTGACACTTTTTTGGTGTTTAATCAAAATCAAAACTTTTTATTTAAATTGATAATTTTATGTCATTTAATAAATATCACTAAACATGTCATTATTTTATTACTCAATTTGTCGTTTGAAAAGCGACTGCTTTTATTTGATTGGAGTTTATTCATCGGTGGTATTGAAAGTTATACCATTATAGCCACAAATTTAGCATTTATCTCGGACATTTTGAACAGATTTTTATTTAATTTTATAAAAACATCAAATGACAAATTGTTTTATTGGTTAAAACTATTTGATATAATATATGGAAAAGCAAACATCAAACAAATAAATATTAATAAAAAACAAATGTTTATTATTAATAAACTTTATATACGATTAAAATTAATGAATATTTTTATAAAATATTCACTTAAACTCTGCTGTAAGTATTCAATGTTTTAATTTATAACACAATCTATTAATTATAATATAATTATGTTTTCAGATATTTTGTTCGCGATGACATTTATATTAATTGCCTGTACATTTTACACGTTATACCAATTCATATGTGCTATCACATTTATTATTATAATATTTTTAAGTTTTTGTTTTGTTGTTAAAAACCTTTTCAATACAGTTGTAAACTTCTATATTATTTGCTATTATATTCAATTGAGAATTAATTTATTAAATCAAAATATAAATCATTCATTAAATAATCAAAATTTACAGATTATTACGATATTAAGGGAACACAACATAATATGCCAACAGATTATCAATTTAAATAGGTTTTGGGGAAAATACTACTTTTGTTTAATACTAACATTGATGCCATTTAATTTGGTCTTGTTTATCAGTGTGTTATTTACTGAATTGCACCTGGTTGCTTTATTCCTGTACAGCGCTGCCGTTTTCTACTGGATATTCATATTTTTATATCGTTTTGTGCGTCTCAGGTGTCAAAAGGCATACATTTATCACATAATAGACTATTTGTATTGCAATTTAATATGAGATATAATACTAGTCTTAAGTTAAAACTAATGACTTTTATTGAAAAATTAATGTCAAAACAACTGATTTTTGGCTTTTCTGTGGGACCACTATTTGTGATGACTTTTCAGAAGTATTGTTTTGTAAGTGATTTAATCCAATAATTAATATTATTATATTTAATATTTTGTGTTATATTTTTTACAGTTAACTGTAATGTATGACCGATATTTTATTTTAACTACAAAGTTAACAGATTATTTTTAAATTCTATAATATTTACAACTCATATTTTAATATAATCAGGTCTAATTGTATACAGTTAATAAGTAATTTTTTAATTCCATTATGTTTACAAATAATCTTAATAAATCAATAAATTACAAAAATATAATAATATTCATTATATCGATATTTATAATTTTATATTGACCTTAAACTTACACAATGCGTTATGTTGAACGTTAATAACAAATATAAACTTTGATTACGATATACTGTACCATATGTTGTGGACATAATAAACATCATATTTTAATGAAATGCTACAGAATTTTATCATTTTTATAATATGATTTATCACTTAAATATGCCAACTTAATTATTTAGCTTTATTAATACAATAGGTCTTGTGAATTATATGTTATAAAATAAATTATAACATTCATAACTCATAATTAATGTTGGAAAACTCAACGAGATTTTATATACAGTATACAATACTCTATGAACTAATGCACTGCTTTCTAAAAAATATCTTTATTATAATATTTTTATTATTATTTTCAGATGATTTATAAATTATATTTATAATGTACCTGTATTACACTGTTTAGGTAAACATCTACTTTTTTAATAATACACTCTAATGCTAATATTAAACATGTGACAGAAAATAATGACAATACTTTTCGAATAAGTATTAGTAAGTGACATAAATGCAACTGGGTCGAATCACAATGCATAGAAATTAACTGTAAGTTATATAGGTTTGAATTAAGATCAACATTAAATAATTTAAAATATAGCAACCACGTCCAATGCTCCATTAAACCAGATTGAATTATGTTAGATAAACTATAAATAACAATAAATATTACATTTATATTAAAAATTATTAAATAAATTTATATTTACGAAAACTATTTACAATTTGTTTAATTTTTGTGTATATTTTGAATGCTTTTGTAAAGCAATTGAATTCAAATTAATAGAAAACGAGGTATCAATTGATTGTTCAGGTATTGTATGCATACGAATGCGATTGTAATGCATAAAGAATAGCAGGTTACTTCTCGGAGCTATCATTGAATATATAGTACCAGGATCATCCAATTTTCTCATTGCACGCGTAATATATTCATGTTTTAAAAATATTCCAATTTTTGTATAATATTCTGAACTCTTGTCCGACTTTATAAAATAATCATTAAACTATTTGGCAATAAATAAAATCTAAATAAATAATAACTTACCTTAAATAATATGTGGTATCTAGGTATATCTGTTGACAAAGTCTGCAAATACCCGGACTCCTGTGCATTAGCCAGGTCTTCAATGGTACTAATCTTTTGCTTACTATTAGAGGCTATGTATGGATAAACACATCCCGCATAACATGTACTCAATACCACACAACCCAATAGTAAACTCATTAATACTATTTGTATCACAAATTTATCGATATTTAAATTTTGAATACTTTGTCGAAAAAATATGGAAACAATTCTCCAAATACTGTCCATTGAAGACATATTTTTGTTACTAACCCTTAGTAGTGTTGATGTGATTGCAATCATAACTAAACTGCAAATCCAGACATTGGTATCAAATGGTTTGAATAGACTTAAGAAATGAAATAATTTAGGCGTTGGAGACGTGAATGTAATGTCGTCTATAATATGAGGGTATGTCATGTCGACCACCTCTTGTCTATCTATTGTAAGCCCTATCTGTCCGATGCCTATATCAGCCAACTGTTTAATTAAAATAAGTGTGAAAGAGTTAAATATGTCATAACTTTAATATAATTATATTATTAATTGTATGAACATAACAAAAGTAAACTTACTTTTGATTGTAGTAAGCCAATAATGCCAGTGAAAGTACCATTGTCCATTTTCTCACCCCACGTATTATTAGTGTCGATCACATTATAAGTAAAATTCCATTTCTCTCTCAATGTGTCCAACAATTGACTTTCAATTCCACATATCATTTGTTTTCTATCACTTCCCGGCTTATATCCAAGGAATATGAATGGTCTGGACTATATTCAACAGTATATTAATAAAATTCTATAAACATAATTAAAACAGTATTACCAGAGTTGTAGCAATAGTCAGATTCTGTTGATTTAGATTATACATTAGATCATTTAAATAATGTTTTTATTAATACGAGTGACCTAGTTACACTCATTCTTTAAATGATGTGTTTATTTTGATGTTTAATCTAATTTAAAAATTCAATGATTATTTTCATAAAAAAGTTAATTAATTTATTAAAGAATTAATTTTCCTATTCATTTATAATGACATTCAGTGAATTGTATTGCAATCAAATGATTAATGATTTGAGTAAAATAAAAATTTCCAAATTGCATTTTATTTTACTTTTACATACATTATTTATTAATTACATATGATAACATTTATTTATTGTACTATTAATTATTAATAATTTATATTTTTAAACTTGTTTAAATGACAATTAATTTATCAAAAATAATATTTATTTATAATTTTATTAATAGTTAATTAGTTATTATAAAAACAACATTATTTTGATAGTTTAAATTGCGTTCAAAACGTATTACAATATTTTCACATGCCATTTTAATTATTGCGCTTATTAATAAAGTTAATTTTTCAATTCATACAATGTGTTTAAATATCAATTCACTAATTAGGATAACTATTGCAACACAATATAAAACTAAGATTTTGTGCATAAGTATTTGCAGTTCATTTAAAGATAATTGCAAAGATTCAACTGATATCATATTCGTATTGCATATATTACAGTTAATGTCCTTGTTAAATAATTGTATGTATAGTAACCATGTCCAATGGTCTATTAAACCAGCTTTTAATATGTCCAAAATACTTTAAATAAACAAAAATTATGAGATTTTCATATTAAAAGTATTAAAAATAAATTTTATAAATTATTTACAAATTGTTTAAGTGTTGAGTGTATTTTGATTGTTTGTGTAAAGCCATTGTAATCATTTCCAATGCAAATGATGTATCGATTGAATGATCAGGGACAGTATGCCTACTAATGTGATACAAATGCATAAAAAAGGTTAACACGCGTCTGGAGGATATGGTTGAATAAATAGTATCATTGTCATTCAATTTCTCATAAACTTTTTTGGAATCAAAGTGCTTTAAATATTTGCCAATTCTTGTGTGATATTCAGATGTCTTATTCTGTTTGACAGTAAATATTGCAATTATTAAAGAGAAAAAGCAGTATTCATTCATACCTTAAATAACCGATGGTTTCGAGGTATATCTGTTAACAATATCTGCAAATACCCGGACTCCTGTGCATTAGCCAAGTCCTCAATTGTCTGAATCTTATGTTCACTATTGGAGGCTATGATTGAATAAACACATCCCGCATAACATGTACTCAATACCATACAAACCAATAATAAACTCATTAACACAACCCTGATCATAAATCTTTTACATTTAAAGTTTTCAACACTTTGTCGAAAAAATATGGACACAATTTTCCAAATACTGTCCGTTGAAGACATACTTCCGCTACTAATCCTTAGTAGTGTTGATGTGATTGCAATCATAACTAAACTCCAAATCCAGACATTGGTATCAAATGGTTTGAATAGACTTGTGGTCTGATATAGTTTAGGTGGGGGTGACGTGAATGTAATGTCGTCTATGATGTAAGGGTAAGTCAGGTCTACCGCCTCTCGTCTATCATAATTAAGCTCTATTTCTCCGATACCTATATCTGCCAACTGTCCATATTTTATATAATTAAAAGGTAACACAAAAATAATTAGTTGAGGTCTGGACTCATTAGAATATAGGAATGTATATGAATAAAATAAGTACTTGCCCCTGATTGAATTAAATCAATAATACTACCATTTGTAAATAATCCATTTGATAGTTTATGGCCCCAGGAATTATTGGTATCAATAATATCATACGTAAAGTTCCACTTTAATTGCAATGTTTTTAATAATTGAGCCTCGATTCCGTGCATTATTTCCATAGTCTTACTACCTGGCTTATATCCCAAAAATATAAGGGGACGTGCCTATATGATAAACAATTAAATTAAGCATTAAAATAATAAATGAATTTAATAAACCTAAAAAAGTCTACCCGAGTTGTAGCAATAATTATATTTTGGCCATTAAGGTTAAGCATAATAAAGAATACAGGTTCTTATATAATTTTATAAATATGAACTATATTAGCTACAATTGTTATCTAGAAAAGAAATAAAACTAATTATATTATAGTTTAAAAGATGTATAAGTGTTTTACAATTTGTAATTTTACTTATTAAAATATTTTCTTTTAAATTCTTAAAATGATTCTAGTATAATACAGTATTCACATTATAACATAAAATTGTATGGTACTTTATTTTTTTATTTGTAATTATACATTAATAATGTAACGTTATTAATAAATAGCTAACACAAATATATTTTCTATTATTCGTAAAATTTAATAAACATTTTCAATGTTTCCTTATAAATCAATATTTAATAAATGATAATTAAAATTTAATTAATCAATTTTATATTTGAATGAAATGTAACATTAAAATGTCAAGATCACTTTTAACATTTACAATATGTATTTTAAAACTTTAGTAATAATCAACTCTATAACAGTTATGGCATAACTAGTACTACAAAATAAACACAATATAAAACATATAATTTTAATCAACAATTTTATTATGTTATTCACGATAAAATTTATTTATCTATTAAATAATTATTAAATTTACCTTTCCATTTATAATGACATTTAATTTTATGATTGAATTGCATTCAAATGATTAATTCAAAGGAAATAAATTTCATTCAATTGTTTACTATATTGCTAAATTTAATTATATATTAGATTAATTTATTTTGCAAATACATCAAATAACATTTATTTACTTGTTTGTTATATTTAATAAATGGTAATATATTTCTTTCTAAACAATTTATTATCATAAAATAAAAACACACTAGTAAATTTAGTAAAATGTTTTATAAAACTACTTGTTAAAATAAATGTATTTTATTCTACAGTAGATTCTATATTATTTTGATAATCAGATTATTTTTGGTAATATATTATAATGACATTTACTATGTTAAAACTTTTTGCTATTTGAAATCAGAGTCCAATAAATATAACATGTGATCATTTTCAATGAATTTCATGTATTAGTAAGACATATCATATTTTGTAATATAAAAGTTGCTGATAATACAGTATAATACTTAGTGTTTATTTTCATTTATATCTTATTACACTTTTCATGATAAAACCTGAAATACTTTAATATTTTAAATCAATTGGTTTTAATAATTTCATTAAATTATTTTTAAATAAAACTTATTTATACTATCAAATTCAACACTAATTTTATGGACTAATGTCTGGCTTTGATAGGAGTCGAGTGGTCGGTGTATCCGACGAGGAATTGGATGAATACACGTGTGGTATATGTCTGGAAGTGTTTGTCAATCCTGTGGTCACCCAATGCTGTCAACAAACCTATTGTCATGAATGTATCCATAATTGGCTCTCAGAAAACAATACCTGTCCTAATGATCGCAAAAAAATTGAGACCACGAGGTGTGAGTCCGGCGCCCAGGGTTTTGGTCAACTTATTGAACAAAATGAAAGTTAAGTGCGATTTCTATGCCAATGGCTGCGAATCAGTGGTCAAAATGTGTGAATTACCCCAACATATAGAATATTGCGATTATAACGCAAACCGAAAGTGTAAGACCTGTCACCTGCCTATTGATGGCAATACTCAACACAACTGTATCGACAATCTATTGATTCAAAACCAAAGCCTTCGTAATGAAAACCAGAGACTCAAAGCCAAGAATAATAAACTGGTGGGTATTACATACAACTTTATAAGTATCATAACATATCTAAATATCAAGCAATTTTGGATTATTTTAATTGTTTTATAATTCTATTTTATACCTTTAGAGTATGAAGGGTGTAATTTCATTGGCTCGTAAGGACCTGGATAATTATGAAGTGCGATCAAAATCACGTATGTCATCGTCTGAAGTGAACAAATGTATTGAGAGGTCCCAGGAAATGATCAGTTTGTATGACACATATTTGGATATATCTACCCATATATACAATGAATTCAATGACGAATTTGATGGCAAACAATGGCATTGTATCGCATTCTCGAGCACTGGCGGTCAGTCTATGGTATCAGCCAGGCAATATTGTCAGCTATTATTTGGTGGTGTACTTCATATAGAGATATTTAATGCAAAATATCCAATTTAATATTACATGTTTTAAAAATTTATATTTTGTAAACAATTATTTTGGTTTATTTTCTTAACATTATAAAATGGTCTTAACAATAATCTATATTAAATAAAACAATAATTTCTGTATTAATATTCTTGAACTAATTACTAATCTAGCATTGTTATAATTGACATAAGAAATTGTAAGATTATTTTCCAGTCATATAAATATTCTAATATTTAAAGTTAAAGTTTTGTTAAGCTTGTAGAGTTTCACTTATAAATTAATTAATATTTATAAATCAATGAATATGTTCATGGTACTCACACCGGATTGAAGTAAACTAATAATACTGCCATTTGGAAATGTACCATTTGCCATTTTATGACCCCACGAGAGGTTTCTTGTGTCAATAATGTGATAGGTGAAATTCCAATGGGATTGCAATGTATTTAGTAATTGCGCCTCAATGCCTATTATTTTGTTTTTATATGGTTTATTTATTATTCAAACTTATTTTCTATTAAACATTATTTTAATATTGAATTTTGTTTTTCATTTAATACAATATATTTTTAAAAAACATTATAATATTATATTTTACATTATGAATATCTATAATATTTCATTTATATTAAAATAATTAAATATTAAGAATTTTTAAAATTTTATTTATGATTATTTTATTTAATTACATTCATAGAAAATGTAATGTATTTGGATTAAAGAATATAAAACATGAATATTGTGAACATATTTTAAGGATTCCTATAATATATAAGTTATTAATAAATGATTTTATTTTTGGATTGTATAAGTGTACTGCATTATATAGTATATTAAAAATGCTGATGTTTATTATGTCATTTTATATAAGCTTTATCTATTTCAAGTGATAATCTAATGTTTACATATTAAAACTGATAATTTATTAGTCATAATAAAAATGCAATTTGATTTAATAGTTGTCATTATACATTTTAATATGAAATTCATTTTAAATGAATAGAAATATTCATATTAAATATATTTCTTTTATTCCTACAGTACTTGTGAGAATAAATTGAATATTTTAAAATTTTAGATAAACAATTTTTGAAATAAAATACTATAGTTTCAAATAATGAAACTTTCATATAAACTCTTATTTCAATTTAACACAAACTTAGATATCGTTTACAAACTAAAATATTTTGTTGAGAAATAAATGCCTGGTTTTGAAAGGAGTCGAGTGGTCGGTGTATCCGATGAGGAATTGGATGAATTCATATGTGGTATATGTCTGAAAGTGTTTGTCAATCCAGTGGTCATCCAATGCTGTCAACAATCCTATTGCAGTGAATGTATCCATAATTGGCTCTCAAATAACAATACCTGTCCTAATGATCGCAAAGAGTTGAGTGTTGGAGATGTTGGTCGGGCGCCTAGACTTGTCTACAACTTATTGAACAAAATGCAAGTTAAATGCGATTTTTATGCCATGGGCTGCGAATCAGTGGTGAAAATGTGTGAATTGTGACAACATATCATTAATTGCTATTATAACGCAAACCGAAAGTGTAAGTCATGTGAACTGGACGTCGATGGCAACGGTGACTACAACTGTATTGAGAGTCTATTGATTATGAATAAAAACTTTTGTGAAGAAATTAAAATATTGAAAGCTGATAAGCAAAATTTGTTACTGGTCAGTATTACATAAATTATACAGCATACTTACTGTACAGTATATTCCAATATTATAAATCATTAAAACTATTTTGTTAGAGTATGACCGAGGTGATTAACATGGCTCGCGTTGACCTGGATAACTGTGAGGTCAAGTCACAGAGAATGTCAGCGACTGAAGTGGACGTATGTGTGGGGAGTGTCCAAAGAGGCCATCAGGAGGTGTAACAGCCATTTGAATATATGTTCGCATATTTACCACACCTTTAATGACAACACGTGTGACAAACACTGGCATTGCATTGCATTCTCGGGTACCGGCGGACAGGCTCTGGTTTCGAGCAAACAATACTGTCAACTGGTGTTTGGTTTGCTTCACATCGAGATATTTAGCACTTAATGTATCCGGACATAGAAATCATGATTTCCATATTTTAATTCTCATTTACTTTTAATACAGTTTTTGTTATACAAATGTTTTTGATTTCAAAGTCACCACTTCGAAAAAATATGGAAACAATTCTCCAAATACTGTCCATTGAAGACATATTTTTGTTACTAACCCTTAGTAGTGTTGCTATCATTGCAATCGTAACTAAACTGCAAATCCAGACATTGGTATCAAATGATTTGAATAGACTTAAGAAATGAAATAATTTAGGCGTTGGAGACGTGAATGTAATGTCGTCTATGATATGAGGGTATGTCATGTCGACCACCTCTTGTCTATCTATTGTAAGTCCTATCTGTCCGATGCCTATATCAGCCAACTGATCAATAATATAAATGTGTAACAGTTAAATATATCATAACCTTATTTGTTAATATAATTATATTATTAATTGTATGAACATAACAAAAGTAAACTTACTTTTGATTGTAGTAAGCCAATAATGCCAGTGAAAGTACCATTGTCCATTTTCTCACCCCACGTATGATTAGCGTCGATCACATTATAAGTAAAATTCCATTTCTCTCTCAATGTGTCCAACAATTGACTTTCAATTCCATATATTATTTGTATTTTATCACTTCCCGGCTTATATCCAAGGAATATAAATGGCCTGGACTATATACGAGAATATTTTAATAAAGTTCTATAAACATAATTAAATTAATGTTACCAGAGTTGTAGCAATAGTCAGATTCTGTTGATTTATATTACACATTAGATCATTTAAATAATGTTTTTATTAATACGAGTGACCTAGTTACACTAATTCTTTAAATGATGTGTTCATATTAGTAATATAACGTTTAGTCTTATTCTAAAAATTCAATCATTATTTTCATAATAAAGTTAATTAATTTTTTAAAAAATTAATTTTTCTATTCATTTTTAATGACATTCAGTTAATACATTTACGTTTGAATTGCAATCAAATGATTAATGATTTGAGTAAAATAAAAATTTCCAAATTGCATTTTATTTTACTTTTACATATATACTTTATATTTTATTAATTACATATGATAACATTTACTTATATTACTATTAATTTTTAATAATTTATTTAACCTTTATTTTTAATCTCGTTTAAATGATAATTAATTTATCAAAAATAATAATATTTATTTATAATTTTATTAATAGTTAATTAGTTATTATAAAACAACTTTATTTTGATAGATAGTTTAAATTGCGTTCAAAACGTATTACAATATTTTCACATGCCATATTAATTATAGCACGTATTAATAAAGTTAATCTTTTAAATGCATACAATGTGTTTAAATATCAATTCACTAATTAGGATAACTATTGTAACACAATATAAAACTAAGATTTTTTGCATAAGTATTTGCAGTTCATTTAAAGACAATTGGAATGATTCAATTGATATTGTATTCGTTGTGTAAGAGTGAATGTCCTTGTTAAATAATTGTATGTACAGTAACCATGTCCAATGATCTATTAAACCAGCTTTTAATATGTCCAAAATACTTTAAATAAACAATTATTATAAGATTTTCATATTAAAAAGTATTAATCATTAATTTTATAAATTATTTACAAATTGTTTAAGTGTTGAGTATATTTTGATTGTTTGTGTAAAGCCATTGTAATCATTTCCAATGCAAATGATGTATCGATTGAATGATCAGGTACAGTATGCCCACGAATGTGATACAAATGCATAAAAAAGGTTAACCCTCGCCTGGAAGATATGGCTGAATAAATAGTATCAGTGTCATTCAATTTCTTAAATATTTCTTCAAATTTAAAGTGCTTTAAATATTTGCCAATTCTTGTGTGATATTCAGATGTCTTATTCTGTTTGACATTAAATATTCCAATTATTAGAGAGAAAAAGCAGTATTCATTCATACCTTAAATAACCGATGGTTTCGAGGTATATCTGTTGACAAAGTCTGCAAATACCCGGACTCCTGTGCATTAGCCAAGTCCTCAATTGTCTGAATCCTATGCTCACTATTGGAGGCTATGACTGAATAAACACATCCCGCATAACATGTACTCAATACCATACAAACCAATAATAAATTCATTAACACAACCCTGATCATAAATCTTTTACATTTAAAATTTTCAACACTTTGTCTCAAAAATATGGAAACAATTTTCCAAATACTGTCCGTTGAAGACATACTTCTGTTACTAATCTTTAGTAGTGTTGATGTGATTGCAATCATAACTAAACTGTAAATCCAGACACTGGTATCAAATGGCTTGAATAGACTTGTGGTCTGATATAGTTTAGGTGGGGGTGATGTGAATGTAACGTCGTCTATGATGTGAGGGTATGTCAGGTCCACTGCCTCTCGTCTTTCATAATTATGCCATATTTCTCCGATACCTATATCTGCCAACTGTCCATATTTTATATAATTAAAAGGTAACACAAAAATCATTAGCTGAGGCAAAACTCATATAAATATAGGAATTTATTTGACCAAAATATATACTTGCCCCTGATTGAATTAAATTGATAATACTACCGTTTGGAAATAATCCATTTGGTAGCTTATCACCCCAGGAACCATTTGTATCAATAATATCATACGTAAAGTTCCACTTTAATTGCAATGTTTTTAATAATTGAGCCTCGATTCCGTAGATTATTTCCATTGTCTTACTACTTGGCCTATAACCCAGAAATATAAGCGGACGTGCCTGGATGATAAACAATTAAATTGAGTATTAAAACAATAAATGAATTTAATAAACCTAGAAGAGTTTACCAAAGTTGTAGCAATAATTATATTTTGGCCATTAAGGTTAACCATAATAATAACTATAGGTTCTTATATATAATTTGTATTTTATAACTTTAGTGATAATCAACTTTATAACAGTTATGGCATTACTAGTATTACATAATAAACACAAATAATTTTAATCGACAATTTTATTATGTTTTTCAAGATAAAATTAATTTATTAATTAAAGAATTATTAAATTTACCTTTCCATTTATAATGACATTTATTTAACTTTATTATTGAATTGCAATCAAATGATTAATGATTTAAAGAAAATAATTTTCATACAATTTTTTACTATATTGGTAAAATTAATCGATATTAAATTAATTTATTTTGTAAATACATCAAATAACATTTATTTACTTGTTTGTTATATTTAATCAATAGTAATATATTACATTCAAAACAATTTATAATCATCATAAAATAAAACACGCTAACAAACTTTTAGTAAAATGTTTTATAAAAATACTTCTTAAAATAAATGTATTTTATTCTACAGTAGATTCTAAATTTATATTATTTTGATAACCAGATTATATTTTGGTATTATCTTATAATGACATTGTGCAGAATTTAAAGTTTTTCTTAGAATTTCACATTCAATTTAATGTTGACATTTACAACTGACTGTAATATTGTATATTTTCTACATACAGCTACGAGCAATCAAAACTGGTGTCGGGTTTTCCTTGATAATTCCTTAAACGGATAATCCTATCTTAGATCTGACTTCAGAATCTCAATCCTGAATGAATGACAGATCACTGGGTATAAAAGATCATTATTTTATCATATGGGGTTACGAAGATATTCACGTTTGAATATTGACAAGAAAATTCGTGAAAGTCCTATTGAAAATACATTAGGTTTTGGAGTACTTTTATGTATTTTGGTTTAATTTTGAAAATATGAAAAACAGCTGTACCTTGGCCATTTCACATGCGAATTTAAAACTTCAAAAATCATTTTGCATAAAA